GGGGGGGGGCGGGCGGGGGGGCATGAGAGGACTTGAGGGGATGGACTTTACCAAGCAAGGAGGGAAAGATCTTAAGAACTATAGATTCTCATTACCCCCACGCCCCCCAGCCAAGTCTACAACAGTAGGTGATTTGATTACTATCACTGGATCTATTGCACTGTGGAACTGTTAGTATCAACTAATTATATAAGGGTTCTTTAGAACTGTAGTGGCAGAGAGAGAAAGAGAGTTAGTTTAACCCCCAGGTCATTGTAGGAATTAGAGTCTTTTGTAAACTTTGTAATTTAACAGGTTTCCTATTTTCTTAAAAGTTCATTTTGAGTGAAATGTTTTGGTAACCCACGATCTGTAGGAAATCCAGGTTGGCTAAAGTAGTCTTCTTGTGAGTAGTCACACAAGGAAAAATAGAAACCTATTATGTCCCCACATCTCTGAATGAGAGCCTGCCCTATCTTTTAAACTGAAGCCCTGATGCCCTCAGTCTTAACGGTCAAGTATTAAAAGTGATAAAATGCAAAGAAATTTCATGCCACAGACCCCTCCCAAGAAATGCTTGTTGACAGCAAAGCTGTGTAGCATGTTCTAGAACAGAGAGTAAAGGACAGACAGGAAAACCTAAACCTTTAATGTAAAGGAAAGGGAAGGGGTGCAGTTAGGGGAGGTGACTGTGGCATCTAACTTAAAGGCACTGTCAGGCAAGTGCTACCAGCCTATGTCTTACATCTGCAAGGAATTTTCTTTAGTTTTAACATATGCTCTTAGAAATGCAAAGTACAACAGGAATTCCTGGGACAAGAGAAGTCTTCCTTTACATGTGAACATGAAGATACAAAATAGTCACTTGATTTACATTCTTCTTCAAATTTTTTTGCATTAGAAAATATACATGTGTCTTTTGTTAAGTACCGTGCTGGGTGTCAATAGGACAGTGGTTAAAGCCATGTGTTTGGGGCTAGAAAAAACTGGGCTTAAACATGACCTCAGACAGATTCCTAACTTCTCTGAGTCTAGAATCCCTAATTGGTTTAAAAAAAAAAAAAAGACAATATTATTTACCTCCTATTTTGTAGTGAAAATTAAGTGATAAAATTTGGTCAGAAGTTAGCATACTGTCTGGCATAATGAGGGCTCAAAAATAAAATGTAACTATTATTATTAGTGGTAGTGTTGGGAGAAGTAGTAATGTTATACATCACCAGCATTTATCACATAGTGGTTCTGAAATTAAATCCTGAATCCCACTAACATAGTGACTAACAAACATCTTTAAAACGTGTAACTTGTCTGTCTCTCAGTAGAGCTGCTTAGTGAACATTTAATATTTATTGCTTTCTAATTCGTTTCCTGTTGACCTCAAGAATTGTATGCAATCATTAACTTCACTAAAAAATCTTCCAAAGAAGGAAGAGCTCCTGAGATATTTTACCACCAGGTGGTTTCTTCTCCCTGCCCTATGCAGCATCCAGCTCCAGCCTGATTTAGCCTAAATGGTCTTCAGAATAGGGAGGTAGTGGTTAGGGTCCTTGTAACACGTAAGGGATGAGACTCTATCCTCTACCAGTGTGCCAACCATTAACTCTTATATCCTTGGTGCAAATTCTCAAAAAAAAAAAAATAATAATAATAATAATCAACCCAGTATATTCTTAAGCAATTTTCTGCTTAATATCTAGAAGTTGATTATCTTTTTAAAAATTAAAGATCAAGTTAAAAATAACTTTTACTCTTCCTGAAGATTTAGTCCTGAGAAAAAGGAATAGATTATTCTAAAACGTGGCCTGCCTTTAGAGTATTTGCAGTCACTTCTATTATTTTTTATGCTGGGAGAAAAATTTGATGTAATGCCTGCTGCATGTTTTTCTAAAACTTGATTCATCAGGAGGAATTGATCAGAAGTAATTTCTACCCAAAACTCCATTTAACTGATCATGAGCAGGTTGCTTAGCTAAAGTGAGAAATAGTGAGAGTGCTGAAAGGAGCTGGCCTAAACTTTCCCAAAGACACAGACAACACTGGAAATAGGTCACACATTTCATGTTTATTTCCAAGCCCCCCAAATTAGAAGATTGTGTACTTAGAGCCTTTGTAAAAATTGGAGTAAATTGCTGTGAACTGCACAGGATAAGAGGTAGTTAATATGGCTTATCTTGCTTGTAGATGTTTACTCCTGATCACTAAGGGAAACTGGAAGGAAAGCATGAGCTTATGTAGAAGACCTGCTCTGAGAGTGTCTATGTCCTCTGGGACAAGTGGAGTTGAGGGAAGGACAGCGGCAAAAGAGAAAATTAAAGGTAGGGGTGGGCTGAAGCTTGCTGGTGGAGAACAGTTGCAGAGAAAGCTCGCCATGAAAATAATGATGACATTACTTGGAGAAGTAGAAATGTATTAAGGGGAAGTTAAGATGGGGTTTGAAAGGAGGAATAATACTGTCTGCAAAGAAGGATCAAGGGAGATGCTGTGTATCATAATGCACTCTGAGTCCATGACATGCAGCTTCATTTAACTTAATGATGTGAGTACGTCATTTCATAAATGAAAATTGCCATAGACTTTATAGCTAGTGGTTAGACATGGGTGATAACTCATAGGAATCTAAGTCTGCATCAGCATTTGGATTGATTTTTGATGTGGGGCACCCTGCTAGGTTCTAATGTAAAAAAGAATTGTATTCAAGGAATTTACATCTTCTTGATTAGCTCCACTTCTATGATATTTACAAAATGCAAATTATTTGGTGTCAATACAATTGGGATATCAAGAGTAAAACATTCTTATTTCCTTCACAGAGTAGTCAAGAGCAGTTTGGGGGGTGGGGAGGGCTTGAGTGATTGATCACAATGACTTGATAGGCCCTGGTTCCAGTACTAGTTATAGTTGTCATCCCTCTGGCTGTTATTCATGTAGAACACCCAACGTGTTTCAGAGCACTGCTCTTCTCTAAGAAGTCAAGTTCTCTGTTGATTGACATTCTTAAAGTTGGTTTTTACTTCTCTCTGAATAACTATAAAGGTTAGGAAAAAGCCTCTGAAGCACTGAAGATCTTTAAAGAATGGGCTTTTTAAAAATGAAAAAAAATTTTCATTTTTCTCACCTAATAAATCTTATTTTGAGAAAATTTTACTTTTCTTTAAAAAAAAAAAAAGCAAAACTGCCTGTTACTCTAAACTCCTTTGGCTTATGGTGTATGCATACTCTCATAGGAACAGGAAGTCTGTCTAAATTAAAACTGAAAACCACAGTTGACTAATTTTGAATTTGCTGCTTTGTTGTTGGTTTCTGCCATAGTGTGTTCGATGGCTTCAATTAGAAAATAAAACCCACAGTATTCCACGTGGGACCAGGTAAAAAGTCAGGGACAGTTGCAGTTTTTCTAGAAAAAGAAAGATAGGTGTTAGGTTGTTGGTTTCTGCCATAGTGTGTTCGATGGCTTCAATTAGAAAATAAAACCCACAGTATTCAACGTCGGACCAGGTAAAAAGTCAGGGACAGTTGCAGTTTTTCTAGAAAAAGAAAGATAGGTGTTAGGAAGCTCTCTAGGCTGGAAGGAGTTTGCCACACTGAAGGTCGGAAACCAAATAAATTACAACTTGGCTCTTCTGTTCATTGGCACCAGTGAAGGCATTTTATAATGCAAAGAAAAGAAACTCTGTAAATCAATGTGGTCCATAGCAATCATTCATTTAACAAATTTTCATGAGCACCTACTCTGTACCAGGCACTGAGGGTAAGGTGATGAATAAGCCCTCATCAATGCTCAGATTAGGTATATTTATTCAATAACAGACGTGAAAGTGCCAGGAAGGTAACATTGAATATAAAGAGGGTCCTAAATTGGTCCAGAGAAAGAAAATTGCATTTTTTGGATAGATGTATGTAGAAGGGGATGGCCTTGTCATGTGAACTTGTAATATGCAGTCAACATGCATTCCCAGTCAGTATCACATTGGCCTTTGTGATGATGGACTTGGAGGGTCTTGGTCTGGGAGGGTGGCATTGGCCTGGAAGCCATTTTTGGTAGGTGTGGGGGAAGACTGTGGGTCTAGGATCATCTTATGAACTCCTTGGAAATGGGCAGCAACTGAATTTTATTTTAGATCTTAGCTCTGAGTAAATAGCAGAAAATTGTGACAGTTTTTCAAATTCACAATATAACTATTTGCCCCAGGAGACTGGAATGGTTATGGCTCAAGTTATCCTGATTTCAGGGGAAAATCAGTACTGTTGTATAACTATACTTTTCTCGTAAGTGACTTTCTAAAAGACAAAACAAAGAAATTAATTTTTTTGTTGTTGGGACAGAAAAGGCTCTGTTTAAAGAACTGGGATGTTGTAACATAAACTGACAAAAGCCAGGGAACCTACAGTCAGACAGGAGCTAAATGTCACATTATCAGTTCCAAACTTGAACTTGCACAAAAGTATTAGGTTAATGTTGAAAAGAGGGTGCCATTTAAGGATATTTTAAATTTAATATTTAATCATCTTCATTTGAAATTGTCCTTACAGTTGGTTGAATGGTCTTTACTTACCAAGGCTGTCCATTGGAAAATATATATCTTTGCCTTTGAGAGATAATTGCTCTAGCTCATAATACCAACTTGTCTAGTTTCTTGGGGGGAAATGATAAGGTTACTATTAAATTGCACGTAGGAGTTACCATGTGCAATACTGGTGTTCTGCAGAGACCAGGGCAATGGGTACTTCACAACTGTGTTCTCAGGTTCAGAAAACCGTGGGGCTGGGGAAGCCTCAGGATTCCTGTCGGGATTGTTGTGATGCCCTGAGGAGGGAGGCTGTGAATTTAAAATTGCACTCAATGACAAGAAAATGCTTCCATGGGGCCACAAGTGCTACAGGCCTTGCTACTTAAAGCTTAAAGCTTGTTAGCAAGGCAGACATACAGAATAAGAATCTGCATTTTAACAATATCCCCAGATGACTGTCTGCACTTTCAAGTCTGAGAAGCACTGCCCCAGGAGAATCTTAATAGTCTAACACTTCTCTCTCACACTCTCCTTTTAAAAAATATGCTTCTGCTGTACCTTCTTCCTCCTCTTTCTGTCTGCCCTCCCTTCCCTGGACACCCTTTCTCTAGAAGAGTCCTTTCTCTGATTTGCATTTCTCACTCCCTTCATTTTTCTCTCTTTCCATCTATGCTTTCCTGTTTTTTGGGCCATTTTCTCTCTGACTAACCGTTTTATTATTATTATTTTTGCCATTGTTTATATGCCATTGCCCTTTCTGACCAATATCTAGCTCCAGACCCATATACAATAATTCATTGTCATTAATTTAGTCAACACGACTATGGCATTTATTTATAAATATTTGCACATACCTGTTCTACTGACTATGGCATTTATTTATAAATATTTGCACATACCTGTTCTACTGTGCCAGTTTTCCTACTTAATTTAGTCAACACGACTATGGCATTTATTTATAAATATTTGCACATACCTGTTCTACTGACTATGGCATTTATTTATAAATATTTGCACATACCTGTTCTACTTTTAAATTTTATAAACACACACACAGAATGACATATTTCACCATGTATATCATGGTATAAAGAATAATATAATGAATATCTGTGCTCCATTTCAAGATGAGAATAAGTGAGGGGTGGAGACATCTTATGAGTTAAGTGATCTTCCTGGTACAGTCATGCATTCTCTCTGCGATCCCGCTATACATTTGGTTAGTTCTCAAATGGCTTTCGCATCAAATTTGATCTGAACAACCTAGCTGGGAAAGCTATTTGAATCTTTGCTTAAAAAGAGTCATTTATTGAGAAGTAAAGTGACTTTCTCAAGGTCAGGTAGCAAGTTGTTGCCCCAGAACTGCGACTAGGAATCCAGTCTCGACATTTCATCCAAAACTCTTCCTAAGCTCTTCTCTTTNTGCCAGTTTTCCTACCTTTTAAATTTTATAAACACACACACAGAATGACATATTTCACCATGTATATCATGGTATAAAGAATAATATAATGAATATCTGTGCTCCATTTCAAGATGAGAATAAGTGAGGGGTGGAGACATCTTATGAGTTAAGTGATCTTCCTGGTACAGTCATGCATTCTCTCTGCGATCCCGCTATACATTTGGTTAGTTCTCAAATGGCTTTCGCATCAAATTTGATCTGAACAACCTAGCTGGGAAAGCTATTTGAATCTTTGCTTAAAAAGAGTCATTTATTGAGAAGTAAAGTGACTTTCTCAAGGTCAGGTAGCAAGTTGTTGCCCCAGAACTGCGACTAGGAATCCAGTCTCGACATTTCATCCAAAACTCTTCCTAAGCTCTTCTCTTTCTGTCAAATGCTTTTTGGTCTCCTCCAGGAGTCTATCCTTCAGATGCCTGATAACAATGAAAAGTCTCATAAGCATTCAACCAGCTGAGTGACACCAGTCAGGAACCCTCAGGCTAGTTTTGGAGAAAACGCTGGGAGCCCTTCCTGGCAGATGAGGCCCTATGGGGCAGAGGGAAGGCTAATTCCTCTGGCTGTCCAAAGAGACAGAAAATAAGTTCGCTCAAAGAGGTGCAAAGGTAATACGGCATTGACACAGCAGAACGTTACTAAATACTGTCAAATACAAGAAGGAGTACAGTTAAGTGTCCATAATACAAAGTCAGATGTGGTTGGTGTCAGAAAGCAGAAAGAAATGCTTGTGGGAGTACATGAGTTAAGTGTCCATAATACAAAGTCAGATGTGGTTGGTGTCAGAAAGCAGAAAGAAATGCTTTTGGGAGTACGTGCTGCAAGCAGAAAGAAATGCTTGTGGGAGTACATGGATGAAGACCGAGGCCCCAGCTGAGTTTAAATCTTGGTTATTCACTGTATGACCCTGGGTGAGTTACTTCATGGCTTGAAGGCTGGGAGGGTAACGGGAATAATAGGACCTAATTCATAGAAACATTGTGAGTAGGAAATGCAATAGTTTACATTATGTTTTTCACAAGTGCTGCAAAAAATGTTTAGTGCTACTTAAAATTTTTTGATTGATTTTAACTTCCCCATTTTTTCATGTCTCTCCCTCCTTTTCTGTGTTTCCCTCCTTTAGTATGAGCCGCACCGCCTACACTGTGGGAGCCCTGCTTCTCCTCTTGGCGACCCTGCTACCGGCTGCTGAAGGGAAAAAGAAAGGGTCCCAAGGTGCCATCCCCCCTCCAGACAAGGCCCAGCACAACGACTCGGAGCAGACTCAGTGGCCCCAGCAGCCTGGCTCCAGGAACCGGGGACGGGGCCAAGGGCGGGGCACAGCCATGCCGGGGGAGGAGGTGCTGGAGTCCAGCCAAGAGGCCCTGCATGTGACCGAGCGCAAATACCTGAAGCGAGACTGGTGCAAAACCCAGCCGCTGAAGCAGATCGTCCACGAGGAGGGCTGCAACAGCCGCACCATCATCAACCGCTTCTGCTACGGCCAGTGCAACTCCTTCTACATCCCCAGGCACATCCGGAAGGAGGAGGGCTCCTTTCAGTCCTGCTCTTTCTGCAAGCCCAAGAAATTCACCACCATGATGGTCACACTCAACTGTCCCGAACTACAGCCACCCACCAAGAAAAAGAGGGTCACCCGTGTGAAGCAGTGTCGTTGCATATCCATCGATTTGGATTAAGCCACATCCGGACACACCACCCAGCCTCTGTCCTAGGGGTGCAGCCCCAGGCAGGCCCAGAGCCAGACCTAAAACAACCCGATTCTTGGCTTAAATGTAGAGGCTAGAAGAACCGCTGTCTGCCTCCTGGTGGGAGCCTGCTGTGCGTCGTTTGTGTGCATGAGTGTGCGTGGGTGTCTGTGGGTGTTTTTACACACCAGAGGAAACACAGCCTCTGCTAGTACAAGGGTAGGAAAAGCCCACACCACCCTGACTCACACCCAGAGGGGCAGGGATGTGGTCTGGTGTTCTGCCTTTGTCATCCATGGGCCCTCCTGGGGATGGGAACCTCCCTTAGAATGGATGTTAATGGAGGAGGCTACTCTGAGGGCAAGAGACCTGTTTTAGTGCTGCACTAGACTAGGAAAAGTTGCTTTAACCTGTGCTTGCCTCCCCCTCCCCCCTTCCACAGGCCATCCCTTTGTAGGTTCACAGTGACTATTTCAGTCTAATCCCATGTCTGCCGAGGTTTCTGAATTCATTCACTTAACCATGGATGTTCATTTTGCAAAGACCCTCCAGACTCTGGGGAAGGCACATGTGGGCGGGGTGAAGCAGGGAAGAGGAGTAAGGGAGGGTAGAGGGGGGACCTTGGACCCAGCAACATGCAGTAGGGAGGTGTGCAGAGACCTGAAAGGCCAGCCCCAAACACAGTGAGACCCAGGCTTCAGCAAAAGGTTTTTCCTGGTATTCAACAGAACCCAAGTGAACAGAGGAGAAAAGAGATTGCCAAAAAATCATTAACTTCGGCTGTCACTGTGATCTGCTGGAACTAGCTGGAACCCAGCACCAAACTTAAAACATAAACATCGACCACTCCTATTTTCAGAACCAAGTCAGTGAGCTAAACCAAAACAGCCCCCCGGCCTTGTCCCCTGAGGGGACAATAGATGTAGTTCAGAACCCTCTGCACAGGGATAGGAAGTAAACAAAAACCTCAGAGGCTGAAGGTTCTAATATCTTCCCTTTTTCTTTGTTATAGCTCTCCCTTTCCCAGTTCGTGATTTCTGTATAACGATTCAGAGAGCCACAACCCTGTATTATAAAGATTCTGCCTCTGCTGAGTGTAACTGAAAAGAGTCTAAGATGAAAGAGTTTAGGGCCTGCTCCATTTTAACTAGAATTAAATTTGGGGTCTTTTTGTTTTAGCTATTGTTAAGAGATTGAGCTGGGGGGAGTATTAGCTCTTAATACCTGAAGGGGATGTGGGGGATATGACCTCTGCTTCTTCATTTGCCTTCTGTGGGTTAAGGGGAAATCCTGTTAAGAAAGCAGAGCATTGGGGTGCATTAGCTGTCCATCTGCTGCTGATGGGATCCACGTAAACTTGTAATCATTCAGTACCTACTGGTGGGTACTAACCTTGATTAAACTTGGGCTGCTTGCAGTGCCTACTTAGGATTTATCTAATGGTCAAAGTGCAGGGTGGGCAAACCTTACTTTACTTTGGATTTGGCTAACCTGTTCTCTTCAAGCCTGAGGTTTTATATGTAAACTCCCCAAATACTCTTTTTGCCTTGTATCTTCTCAGCTTCACCAGTCAAGTCATGTGTAATACAGAAAACAAACACCATTGACTGGGATTCAGTTGCCATCAAGCCTCCAGCGTTCAAAGAACCCTTGTGACTAAAGAAGCTGTTTTTATTTTGCTTTTGTTTTGGTCCAGTGCTTACCCATCTGACAACTAAACAGGAACCATTTTGAGGCAGAAGTTATCTTGAACACCCAAAATGTTGGGTGTAATTTTAAAACTTTTAAACTCACTACTGATGATTCTACACTAAGCAAATTTGTGCAAACACGTAGTCTGTGCATTTTGTATACACTGTATGCCCCTGCCCTAAGTCTTTGTATCATCCACATCCTCCAACAATAAAGCACAGAATGGATTTAATTAAGCACACAAATGCTAAGGCAGAATTTTGAGGGTAGGGGAGAGGAAAAGAAAGGGAAAGAAGCTGAAATTGTAAAACCACACCAGAGAGGAAAAATGACATTCAGAACCAGCAAACACTGAATTTCTCTTGTTGTTTTAACTCTGCCACAAGCATGCAATTTTGTTAAAAAGAGATGACTTAAGTTGGCAGCAGCAATCTTCTTTTAGGAGTTTGTACCACAGTATTGCATGTAAGTCGGATTTGGCTCAAGTAAAGAGAATTTCCTCAAAATTAACTTCGCTGGAATAATCAGCAGCATAACTACCCTGAAAGCACAGCACTAGCCAAAGAGGGAAATGTCTGCTTTTCTTACTGTGCCTATATTAAGACTAGCACAAGTATGGTGTGTCTTCCAACATTTATTGAAAATGCCATTTCTGTTACATATTTTATTGGAGTCACCGATGATGTAATGATGTATTTTTTTCATTATTATAGTAGAATTTTTTTATGGCAAAATATTTGTGATCTTGATCTTACCTATTAAAATAATGCCAAATACCAAATATGAATTTAATGATGTACACTTTGTGCTTGGCATAAAAAGAGAAAAACACACATCCTGTAAATCTGTAAGTTGTTTTTTGTTACTGTAGTTCTTCAAAGTTAAAAGTGTAAGCAAAAGATCTGGAGGAAAGGATAATTTCCACTGTGTGGAATGTGAATAGTTAAACAAAAAGTTATGGTTATTTAATGTAATTATTAATTCAAATCCTTTGGTCACTGTGATTTCAGGCATGTTTTCTTTTTTCTCCTTTATGTGACTTCCTCTGAGTTGGGCAGAGAAGAAGCTGGCACATTGTATGTTGTTGGAGACTTTTATCAGGTCAGAGGGAAACACAATCTTGACTCACTGAACATGCATTACACTCAAGAGCTTTTATTTTTTTAATTGAATGTTCCTTAAAGGTTAAGATTTCTGAAGCAATATTAAGAAAGACTTTTAATGTTATTTTGGAAGACTTATGATGTGTGCATACAAACAAATATCAAATAATGATGAATCATTCACAAATTCCTTTTAAGGAGAAAATCTAAAATGAAAAGTGTACGTACAGAACATTTATAAGTGAC